GTTTAGGAGTAGAAATTGATTTTTCTCTTATTTTATTGTGACATTTTTCAAAAAATTTCAAATTGCAAAGTTATTTCTGGTAAAGAAAGATACATGTTTGTTTTTCTTTTTCTTTCCCTTTCAGTTAAAACCGTCTCTGTCCTTTTTTTAACTGTTTGTCATTCAATTTTGAATTTCATATACGCCAAAATGACTGATGTTTACATTAATTGTGAAGTTTTTGTTTACCACGTCAGCATTTAATGTTTTATATTATTTTCAAACAATTAATTTTTTTATATCTAGTAATCAAAACAATTGTTAAAATTCAATATAATTTATTAAAAGATTAGTGGAATTTCTTGCATAGATATTGATAAAGTGATGAAAAAACTAAAATGTGTTAAAATAGTAAAAATTGACGATAAAATTTAAAATACGATAATTATTTACTTTTTATTTATAAAAAACTATAATTATTTTCTCATCATTTTTCTATTAAGTATCGTATTTCTTTAAAAAAAAAAAATTATCAAATTTATTTGAAAACCACATTAATTTTATTTTTCAAAATTGCTTTTAAACAACAAAGGTAAAACGTAGTTAACAAATAAACAAAGATTAATAAGTACAAGCTTGCTTTTTAAAAACTAAAAATTAAATGATTATTAAATGAGTCTAAATTATTATCTATTTAAAAAAAAATTGTGTTAATTTATCCATTAGTTCAAGGATTGGAATTAAATTCAAAATTTATTATGTTAGAATTTAATTCTATGAAAATGAAAGTTCCAAGAATTTATTTATTTTTATTTTTTTAATTTTGAAAATGAAAGAAGATTCTGATTTCATGTGTGTCCAACGGTAATGAGAGAAATTAAAGAAATAGATTTTATTATTTCAGGAAAATAAGGGGTTTAAATTGTAATTTAACAATGAATGCAAGTGTTCTCTCACTACAAAAACTGGGGGGAATTTAAATCTAGGAAAGAACAAGAGTGTGAAATTACCAAAAAGGACAAGCCTTTCAAAATTACAATTAATTCACTAAAATTTCATCAATATTATCTTGGATGTTGAACAAGACAATGTAATAATAATTGGGTTTTGTCGATATTCGAAAGAGTGTCAGATTTCCAAAATTTCAACAATTAATTCACTAAATTTCAATCAAACCTGTGAATAACTTGAAGAACTTGAAGAACTGGAAGAACTTGAAAGGAACGATCAAATTCAATCATAAAGACCTATGTAATGAAAACATGATCAAATCTACGGCCTGAAGGAGGAGAAGAAGCTAAAGGAAGAACCTGTGAAGAACTTGAAGAATGAATCTGTGAAGAACTTGAAGAATACTGTGAGACATAATGATTTTGAAGCTCTTTCTCTTTTGTACAACAAACCTCATCATCTTCTTCGTCTTCAGCTGCAGCTATGGGGTTGGAAATGGGTTGAGTTTCAGGATTTTGAATCGACCCACCATTTTTACAAGCTTTTTTCTGAGATTCTTCCATCAATCTTCTGTACAGTTTCTCTTCTGCTTCCCTCAAGAATCTAAATTTTGGGGGAGGTGAAGATATGAGCCTGTTTAAATCGAAATCTGTTGATGATTCAAAGAGTGGGTTTATATTGAATCCATGGTGTTTGAAAGAACTCAAGGGAGAGGGTGGATTGAATGGAGGAGAAGGCAAAGGAGTGAGAAATGGAGTATCAAGAGCTAAGATAAGATCACTTAAGCTTCTTGTTCTTGATCCCTTTCTGCTTCGATCTTCTGATTCTAAATCTTCTTTGGTTTCCTCTTTAATGGTGAAGAGAAATCTTGGAGGGCCTGCAAGATTATGCAGCCTCATCAGCTCCAACTCCACTCCATCTTCTCCTCCAGATGATTTCAATAACAAATCCTTGCTAGAACCGATTTCAATGTCGGGTTCTTGGCTTCTAATTTCTGGATTTCTTAGGGAATTGTTGGCTTGAATTGAAGAAGAAGAAGAGGAACTCCTTCTCCAGCAAATAAGATGGAAGAACTCCTTAGCATAACTGGTGAATTCATCTTCAACCTCTGAATTAAAGCTTCTCTTCTTCCACCATAACAGATAGTAAAGCTCGGCAACAAGAGCAAACAGAAGGCACCCGAAAACCAAACTCAATCCGATTCCTAATCCACTGAAAGAAATCATATCCCCTAAATTGGGAAGAATCTCATATCGCCGCCATTAACAATCAAAACCTCAAATCCAATCTCTCAAAAGGGAAATGGAACTCCACAATCTAAAGCCTCATAAGAACAGGACAAGAAATCGACGAAATCCCTAAATTCAGCGCAATAATAACCAAAGAGCCTCAAGAACAGTGGAACAGAACAGAACAGAACAAAAGAACGCTTCAGTGTGATGGAAGGAGGAGTAGATTCAGATTGTTGCCTGAAACATACGCAATCGCAATTCCAGAAATGTTCCTGAGAGAGAATAACGCGTGATGAAAAGAACTCCCAAACTTTCCAAAAGAGAAATGGAACTCCACAATCTAAAATCTCATAAAAACAGGACAAGAAATCGACGAAACCCTCAAATTCAGCACAATAATCACCAAATAGTCTCAAAAACAGTGAACAGAACAAAAGAACACTTCAGAACGTGTAATGAAAGGAGGAGTAAATTCAGATTATAGCCCGAAACATACGCAATAGCAATTCCAGAAATGTTCTTGAGAGAGAATAACGCGTAATGAAAAGAAACTCCCAAGCTTTCCAAAACTGAAATGGAACTCCACAATCTAAAACCTCATAAAAACAGGACAAGAAATCGACGAAACCCTCAAATTCAGCGCAATAATAACCAAACAGCCTCAAGAACAGTGAACAGAACAGTACAGAACAAAACAACGCTTCAGAATCAGTAAGATTATTGCCTGAAACATACGCAAAAGCAATTCCAGAAATGTTCTTGAGAGAGAATCAGGCGTAATGAAGAGGAAGTTACCTTTAAAAAGCGGAACGAATGAAGGAGCAGGCACGATCAACAGATGCGAACAAAAATCCGATTCATATTAATTTCAGAAAGAAATCATCCAAAAGATGAAGAAGAAACGAAGCCCACAGGGATTAAACTAAGAGAATTAGGGGAATTTTGGAAGAGAGTGGAATGAAAGAGTAGTATGTGGGGGTTGCTTGGATGGCAGCTCACATGGGTGGGTTAGCCAAATGCGTGTAAAACCAATTTTTATACTATTTTCTTTTTTTTCCCCATTGATTGCCTTTGAATGCAACACAGGAGAATCCTCCTCCCTCCTCCTTTTCACCTTCCATAAATAATTTTTAACATTTATTTTATTTACAATTATTATATAACTCATGTATAAAATTAAACATTAAATTAATTTGAAATTATAATTACTCACGTGTTATTTTATTTATTTTTATTTTTACACGAGATAAGATAATTAAAAGTAGACTAAATTATAGGTACTGAATTAATGTAATTCATTTGACGTTTCATAAATATTTTAAATGACACAAAAAATCAACTTGAAATAAATTTTGAAACAACCTTTTGGTTACTCAATTAATGACGATTTGAATTTTTGCTTTTGTGACTGAGAATCTACATTTTTTTTCAATAGAACTAATTGTTCTACACTTCTTACTTGGTGTAGCATGTTACATGGGTCGAGAGTGGGAACTTAGTTTCCGTCTGGGTATGTGTCCTTGGATTGCTGTTGTATATTCAGCTAACGGTCGGACGATAGTAAAAAGTCATAGCAAACCCCGTAGCTACCGAATTCAATTCTTTTCTTCTTGGTTTTGTAGAAAAACCTTTCCTTTAGTTATAGTGATTCGAGAATGAATCTTTAGGCTTGACTTTCACCCCCTTGAGTAAAAACTTTTCCGGTTGACCGAAGATCCCAAATTGCAAATAGGTCTTAGATGGAAAGGGTCTTGCTAACATTTTTAACCGTTTTTATACTAAAAATATAATTTTATTTTATTGAAACTAAAAAAAGGTGGGAGTATTTTTAAAACCATATATATATATATATATATATGTATCCCTACCCAAGATTATATACTGTGAGCCGGTGTTGTTACTCTCTTGCTTGCTTATATAACGTCTCTTTTAACAATCTCTCTCTACTCTCGTTTTCTAAAATCTTCTTCTTAAACCGAGGTCAGAGACTCGAGCATACGTCGCGTCGCTTAGCCGTAGGCGATGTAAGAACAAATTGACTTAGCTCACTTGTCGTTGGAAAGTGAGTGCCGCACAATCGCAAGTCCGTTGCCATCAAGAGCGCGATTGTGATATATATATATATATATATATATATATATATATAGTTGAGCATAAATAATAGTTATATACAAAAAAAAAAAAAAATCGTTTAATATTTTTTTTATAAAAAAAACTCGATTTCATTAAATAACCTTTGATAATTTGAAACTAGGGCAAGGACGGAGCTTTTCTCATCCTCTTCCCGGTTTAGCTTACAAACATTTTTTTTCACTCCCTCGTGTGTTTCTATCCTGCGAGGAGTGAGTCTCTGTATGGCTAAATTCGGCGTCAAATGGAAGTTTTTGTACTAATTTAAATTTTGAATCTCTTGTTGTTCACAAATTTTAATGTCGATAATAACAAGTTAAATCTAGTTCGAAAGCTCGTGTCGTATTTGACTTTTTTTTGTTTAATTTGAACGAATTAACCAACAAAAAGTTTCCCATGATTGCATAATTTCATATGTTGATTATTATTAGCATATTTTATAATTTTATAATAATTCGATTTTTCCTTTTTGGAAAATATAAAAATATATTGTAAATATAAGATGGACCAGGACATAATGGGCCGAATACTGGGATGGGCCTTGGATTACGCGAGTCTTAGCCCAATAATATGGACTGATTATATTGGGCCCAATACTCTAAATGAGCCCATGGCCCATATGTTACATCACATTCACAGCTTTGGCTAATAAATGGAAAAGGGTAGAAAAGGGAAAAATGAAAATAAGCGCCGTCACCGCTAGTAAGCGCCGTCGTTGTTCTTTAACCTACTTCATAATAACTCCGTCGAAGTTAAGCGGTCTGATTAACGGACACCGTTATCGTTGTTGTTCTCCTCAAACTCTTCGTCACTTCTCTCTTTCTGGACTCCGGAGGGCTTTGGATTTGGAGGGGGAGATGAGCGTTGTTCTTGCGGTCTGTAAAAGGGCTCTGTAATTCTCCGCAATTGGATATCCATCGCGAAATTCGAATCTCTTTTGATTGCCCTAATTTCTCTAATACTAATTGTAAGTTGTTTCGTTTCTTTGTTCTATATTTCTCGGAATTATTGGCGTACACAAATCTTGGGTAGGTTCGCTTTCTTTTTGTTTTTGGAACTCTGCTGTATGCGAATTTATTGTTTATATCCATCTAGGGTTTTGTTTTCTTCTTGATTATTGTGTTATTTTGGGATTTTTTTTTTTCCCAATCGTTTTCGTGGGTTTTGTTTGGGAGTTTCAATTTTGATTGTTGAAGTAGACGATGATTTTGAATGTTGAGGTGAAATTTGGTGGTGAAAATTGTTGATTGTTGTTGAGTATGGGGTTTGATTTTATCTGGGAAGCTGGATTTGTCTGGATGTGTTAGGAGGTGGTAGTTTCTTCCTATTGGAACTGTGAGTAAATAAGGACTGATTCTGAGTTGAGCGCTGAAAGGACATGGGAGAGGATTTGTTAACGAGTTTGTCTATGGAAAATCATCACCCATCTACACTATTGTCAATGGATTCAAGTTCTATGTCTCATGAAGAACTTGAGCGAGAGTTGAATCGACCTGTTGTTCTTTCCCGACCGCCCGATATCAATCTTCCGCTTTCAGCCGAGCGCAGTCCTCCTCCACAGCCCTGGAATTCAGACCCTTTTGACATGTTGGATGTTAGTCTGGGGACCCAAATTAATGAAACTGATGCTCTTCTTAATCTGCCAAAGACTGGACGTAAGTTCTCAAAGAGACTAGACAGTGTGTGGGGTGCCTGGTTTTTCTTTACTTATTATTTTAAGCCAGTGTTGAATGAGAAATCGAAGTGCAAAATCGTTCGGGACAGTAATGGGGTTTCTGGGTTTGACAAGTCTGATCTAGACCTTGAGTGGTTCATGGTTCAACATGATATGGAGAATATATATATGTGGGTTTTTAAGGAAAGGCCAGAGAATGCACTTGGTAAAATGCAGCTCAGGAGTTATATGAATGGACACTCTCGACAAGGTGAACGCACTTTCCCTTATAGCGTTGACAGGGGGTTTGTTCGGTCTCACAAGATGCAGCGAAAGCATTACAGGGGCTTGTCGAATCCTCAATGTGTGCATGGCATTGATTTACTTCCGTCGCCTAATCTCAAAGGTCTTGACGAGGAGGAGCAGAAAAGATGGATAGAACTTACAGGGAGGGATCTTAACTTCTCTATCCCACCAGAAGCAAGTGAGTTTTGTTCGTGGAGGAACCTTCCCAGCACAGAATTTGAGCTGGAAAGACCCCTTCCTCCCTTGAAGACCAACTCGCATCCTCCTCCGAGAAAATTGTTAAATGGGGCTAGTCTTAACCTGTCAACCCGACCAACGAACCATGTAAATGGCGGAGGGATGGATCTGTCACCAAAAGGCAACAAGCGGAAGAAGGATTTGTTTCTTCATGGGAATGATGAAGACTGTTGTTTGCTCATTAGCCAACATAATGAGAGAGTTCAGGATATAGAAATCCATCCAGTTGAACCTCCATGGTTAAATGATTTCAGTGGGGCAATGAGGAACGTTTACGGTCCTGTTACAGCTGCAAAAACGATCTACGAGGACGAGCAAGGATACTTAATAATCGTCAGCTTGCCTTTAGCTGATCTAAAACGAGTTAAAGTGACTTGGTGGAACAACCTCACTCATGGGGTTGTAAAGATAACATCAGTGAGCACAGGATGCATGCCCTTTGTGAAAAGAAACGACAGAACATTCAAGCTCACCGATCCATCACCTGAGCACTGCCCTCCGGGAGAGTTCATAAGAGAAATTCCATTACCAACCAGGATCCCGGACGATGCAAAGCTAGAAGCTTATGGAGATGAGACAGGTACTGGTCTAGAGATAATGGTGCCCAAACATCGCGTTGGTCCAGAAGAACATGAAGTTCGTGTCTGCCTTCGCCCTCATCTCGGAGCAAACGAGCTGGTGTTATCTTGAAGGAGGCACCGATCGGAGGGATATAAAGGGTGTTTTTCGGTGTGATTTTGCAAGGGCGTAGCAAAAGAACTGCTGGTGTTTATGAAATTAAAAGGGGAAATATGTTTTTAATCTATTTTTTTCCTTTGATCTTAAATACCATCTTCTACTGCCCAAGTTTATCTGATTGGAACATTATGGTTTCTTTCAGAATGGCGGCGGGCACACAGTTGTTGCTGAGAAATGTTTGTGCTGTTCATCATGAATAGATAACACCTTACACCAAGCTTAGCTTAACTGCCAGATTTAATCTTATTTATACAATAAGATTGTAAATGCATTGATTTGGATTAACTGCTACTTGATAATCATGTTTCCCTTTCTTTTTGAACCAATAATACATATTAGCTTCATCTCCTGAAACTAGCTTTGTTTTGGTTCTATGTGTTCTTAGCTTCCCTTGCTTCCTTGATTGATGATTCAGCTCTGATTCTCGCATTGCCCTGTTCTTTGTGAAAGGGCGATCAGAACATGTTATGCTATTTATAGAACAGATTATTGATGTTCGTTAATGAAAAGTTGAGGAGATTGAAGAAGATGAGTCTGTAAATTCGGTTCTGTTCCTTGCCTCCTCCTCCGCTCCAACAACCCTACATTAACCTCCTCGGCTCCGACGTTCGCATTCCCGGCAGAGACTAATCGTAAAATCTGCACCATCTTCATCAAACGCCTGGGAATGTTAGAGAGAGCATTTTTTAGGTTCAATGTTTTGAAGGTTTTTACTCTTTCTAATAAGTTTGAAATACGTATGAAATTTAAAAAATCCAAATGATAAAATTTTAAAACGAAGTTGTCAATTAGCAGTATTTCAAATTCTTCTCATAACTAGAGATGTTCACGTGTTGGCCGAGTCCTTCTTCTTCGGTCCTGTTTTTATTCTTCATCCCTTGGTCCTTCAAATTTCAGGGGTTTATTCCTCTCCTTTTTTATTCTTCATCCCTACACAATTTTAGGACTAAAAAAATATGCTGATTGAGTCGGGTTGGATATACTATATTTAATTTATAATGTAACCATAATTTCCATTATTTTTTTAATGAGAAATGCAAAAAAAAAAGAAAAAAAAGAATATATATATTTGCCAACTTAATTTCTAAAAAAATTAAAATTTAATATTATAACAATTTAACTTAAATATTAAAATCATTATCCAAAAAAAACTTTTAATGTTTTAATATATAAGTATAATATTTATGAGGATGGATTGTTTTGTCTCATAATTTTATTCGAGTTATTAACCAAAATAAATTATAATATATTGAAATATTGAAATAAAAGTATTTTGAGTTATTAGCCAAAATAAATAAATTATAATATATTGAAATAAAAGTGTTTTGAGTTACTAGCCAAAATCAATAAATTATAATATATTGAAATAAAAGTATTTTGAGTTATTACCAAAATAAATAAATTATAACATATTGAAATAAAAGTATTTTGAGTTATTAGCCAAAATAAATAATAATATACTGAGTACTACAAATATAATGATAAGATAAAAATAAATAAATAAATAAATAAATAAATAAATAAATAAATAAATATACACATATTTGTAACAGAAAAATAGAAATTTACTCCATTTACCTAACAGTAAATAATCTCTCTCCGATCCATTCAAAGTAGACTCCACCAAATCCGAGTGTAAGTTAAGTGAACAGAAGTGTTAAAGGTCAGTTAAAAAGGGCAATGAATGGAGCGTGTAAGAGGCCACGTGAGCTCACTTCCCTTACGCCCATCTCTTACCTTTTAGCCCCTTTCTCTACTGAACCCAACGAAAAAATAAGGCGCCTACAGCCCTCGTGCTGACCTTTAACCCTCCCGCGTCTTCGTTCTTTCTCACTTCCCTCGTCGCCATTCCGTTCACACACCCGATCCTTCACACAAATGCCGTTCTCCGCTTAGATACTACGCCAACACTTCGCCTCAAATCAACTCCTGGTACTATTTTCCTTAATTTCGTGTTTTCTTTGCATCAATTGTGATAATTGAATGATCCGGATGCTTTGCTGAACGAATAATGATGATTTTTGTTTGCAAGCGATGCTTGTGTTGTTGGCGATTAATTTTCCGATTCGGAGATGTGAACGTCAGAGGTTGTATTGTTTATGTGTGGTTTTAGTTTGTTCGTGTGCGGAAATAGGTTTATGCGTGGTTTCTGTTTGCTCTTTGAAATCCACTTTTTCTTTTTTTTTTTTTGGATTCGATTTGTTGTATTTAATTCCTTTTGTCTTTTTCTTCTTTAATTTAACGGTTTTAATGCATTTGATCGTCTCTTGGGGATAGGTTGACTTACTGGGTAATTTGATTTACGATTTTGCAGGTTGACAATACTCGGCAATCTTCATTTCTGAAATCTTTACAGTCTTGGCCTGTTCGTTGTTTTTGTATGGATGATACATGAGGAAACTTTCTATGGCGGTTTTTCCTTCTTTATCATCCTAAAAAAGTGCATTTCGTAGTACTATGTATTTATATATTTTGCGTAGGATCCCGGTAGTTTGTAGCAATTTTATTAAGGACAGACGATCATTTTCCCTCTTCAAGTTCTGCTGTTAGTAGAAGATCAGGTTGCAAATTAAGAAGATTTTTCAATGGAAGACACTTCACCTAGTTCAGGATCAGGTATAGTTGGTGTTGGTGGAAGTAGAAAACCACGAGGATGCTCAATTGGGGTTTCTCACTCAAAAGCATATTCAAATAATGCTATACGGAGTGTAACTTCATTTAGACAGAGCAGAATTGTCAATGGTGCAGTTGGTCAGGTGACACTTTTCTTGCTCAAAGTTGCTGCGCTAGAGACAGTTAGAAGGTTCTCAAAGTTTAGGTGTCCTTTTGCTTGGCGAGGTCTTCAAGCTTTGCAGGTTCTTTCCTATCCACCATTTAAGTGGATTCAGAGATGGACTCCATTCAGAGGTTTAGTCAAAGGCATGCAGGTCTGTTCTGTTAACTTTGTTAATTATGACCTTCACATCATAATTTAGACGGGCAAATCACCCATATGATCTAGTCTTTGATGAAATGTTCATTGGCCTTATCTGCTTATTATGGTTCTCACATTATTTTGTTGAGTGTAAGTTGTTGGTTTATGTTTACTTGTATGTGCAACGTGTTTATTAAGCATGTTCCCTTTTATGTCTTGATAATGGCCATAACCTGCTCAATGGTAGTTAATTATGCAGACCCTATTCTGCATTGGACATGATAATGTGGAGTGCTTCCCTTAATTGGTTCGTCTTAAATCATAATTCGAACGTGGAACTGGATGTTAAGCTAATTCCTGCAATATGCTAAAACTTAGTTGCTCTTTAACTCAAAACTTCATTTCCTTACCAATGTTACTTGTGCAAACACGTGCGCGATCTACATCCTTCAGTTGCTTTAGTCAAGATGGGAAGAATTGCAGATGCAGTCTCCTGAACTTTGGAAACCGATGATTCCTGTTCTTCCCATCTTAAATTCTTAATATGCTTTGTTTCTTCAGTGCATTATATATTACCTTTATTTTTCCAGATGTTGTCAAAGCCATTACTTATACTATCAATAGCAACGTCACTCCCTGATCAGACAGAGACAGAGACTGTGGGTGGTAACACAGATGACATCAATGATTCCCCTTCATATTCTGAAATGATCTCAGAACTGTCTTCTGAAAAATCTCCCACAGATGCAAGGTACTGTATTGAAATGGCACTAGAGGGCTTTTTATGCTTTAGATCAAAATTCTGAAGGTCTTTTGTTATTTTTACTATAGTCTAGAAGTAGAATCAAGGAATAAAAAGTCGGTTGACATGTCCACATTTCAGTATTCAATGTGTGTTATATATCTATATGGGATAGTTTAGTTCTTCCTCAACGTTAATGGCAGGTTGTTTACTTCCTCAAAACATAAATGACTTAGGATATGTCAACCGATTTAATCACTGCCCCATCAATGGACAGCTATTTATTTATTTTTACTTCCACTTACTGTTAAGCCAAGAGCTCGTAGCAGATTCCCATTTGCTTTTTGTTTTTCAATGGGGGATACACAACCCACACCTCTTCATTCTCCCTTATATGTATCAATGTTTTCTTCTACATTCTATTGACACTTTTTGGAAAATCAACCCTTGACATTTTCAATGTCGATATTAATATTCGATTGCAATAATCTATTCGCAATTTTCCAACATTTTGTGAATGTTCTCTCTATTTCAATGTTGATGATTTTTTAAGGAATCATTTGTTTAACTTCTGCTCGGGACTTTTGGGTGTTTTCTGTAATCTCTGCACTCTATTAAATTTTAAATAGTTCACATAATTTGCAGGGCCTGTGATGAGGCTCCACAAAGTACTGAACCTGAAAGTTGGTTGGTTTCCCTTTCTAAAGATCTGGAAAGTCAGGGTTTAAGTTTGCCAGAAAGGTAATTTCTAATTTGAATTGCTGTAGATCTTATAGCTGTTGTTGACTGAAGATGCAAGACTGAAAGTTTAGCCTTAGAACTCTGTGAATGATGAGACCTATGTTAATATTAACAACTACTAATGGAATTTTATCATATGAGGTACCAAGTATTATTGAACTTAAAAGTTCTGTCTACCTCCTATTAATTACTCTCAGTATCTCCTCCTTTATGTGCCTGCTTGGTTTAACTTGACTGTATGTGTTTATAGGTGGTTGTTATTAGTGGGATTGTCCATGAGTTCATAGGCTTCACTTTTTGCAGTTAACTACCACATTTTTATTTCATTCAGATTTAATGAAAATGAGCTTCAAAGATTCTATACAGCTGCAAATGGTGACTTTACATCTTTGTTATCTTCAATTAAGAAGACAATTCGCTGGAGAGAAAATTACAAGATACTTTCATCTTCAGAGCTTGATATGTGGTCACATATGGTCTATTGGCATGGATTTGATCTGACGGGCAGGCCTTGCCTCATCGTACGGCTTGGGCTGGCTTGCATGAGCTTGTCGTCTGAAGATAAACCCCGTTTTACCCAAGCCATCAGTATGTCTCTTAATTTTATCAATATAACTCCGACCGACTTCTTAGAAATCTAGTTCTCCCTTTTTTTTTACTCAAATAGGTGCCGTTTGCTTAATATTGAGGGTGAACTTTTTCTTGATTTTCCTAATTGTGACAAAATTTTTGAAGGTTTTAGGTGCTGATAGTGTGCATTTAACATTGTTTGGCATTAGGCATCACCCTTACATTGTTAATAATATGATTTGCTTTCCTTGTTATGGTCGTTCTTTAGCGTGTTGACTGTATAATACGCTTTTTAATCAGTATCTCAGGTCGAACATGGGGTCGTTGAGTTAGTTGATGCAGAAAATTCCCAAATCACAGTCTTAGTGGATTGTGAAGGATTAACTCCCTTTAGAGTTCCCATGCAAATGATGAGATATTGTTCTTCCCTTCTGCAAGATCACTTCCCAAACCTTCTCGGTTGTTTGTTCGTCATTCGGCTTCCTCCCGTCGTCCGTCTTCTTGCTCAAACTTTTATTCAAGTAAGATTATTCCTCCAGCTTTTGCACTTTGTTTCTCCTTGCTGATAATTTGATTATGAATCGAAGTATAATCTTCAGTTCTCCTTAACAAAGTATGATTTATTTATATTAGATCTTGAAACCTGTTACCCGGAAAAAGTTGAAAATTGAGGGGGAGACTACATATGAAAAGGTTCTATCTGAGTACCTGCAAACACTGCCGAGATATCTTGGTGGCAAATGCTCCTGCACGAATTGTTCAAAAGTAGATTTCCACGATATACAGCGACTGGATACAAATGAGACGGTGAACAGAGAGTTGATTACTGAGGGAATTCATGGGGACGATTCGATCTTACGGTCTCAAATGTTTGAGTTCGAGAATCACTTACATGGAAACTTCGATCAGATGATAAGAACTGGAGTGATAAGCATCCTTATGATATGGGCTTTCTTTGCTGTTATTGTCAGTGCATATGATCCTGAATATCGAATCTTCCCGTCGTCGTGATCGGAAAGGAAAGGACTGAGTCTGCCTGCTTCGTCTGTTGGGAGCTTGAATTCTATCTATAAATGATGCTAGTTCTGCATTTTGCAGATAGGAAAATGCATGGTATTCTTCATGTTATTGTTAATAACAATATCTGGTATCAGTTTTAGTACGTGAATTTTTTTTGTAGCAGACTAGCAGTATTGGACTTTCAAAGAAAGTGTTTTTACTCCGAATAATTTCAAGTAATTGAATCATAACAGTGACGAAGTTGGCATTATTATTTGATTTGATTTTGATGTGTATTTTACGGTATAATGATGTGTATTTCGATTTGGGATCAATCCAACCAATTTGAATCTTTTTTTGTTGGTCTAAAAAAATTATCGATACGTGAGCTGGATTCAGAACGTTGTGAGATAGTTCGGTCCATATCCGATGTGGGCGTTAAAGTAATGAGAGGACCTTTCCCTAGTATAAGAGGATCGGGAAGGACGCATCTCTAGTGTACCAGTTATTGTGCCAACGCTAAACACTGGTTAGCTAAGTGCGGAGCGGATAAGTGCTGAAAGCTCTAACTAGTAAGCCCACTCCAAGATGAGTGTTCTAGTATTTCGACTTTTCCAGAGCCTCTGGTAGCACAACTCATATTCACAGATGGAAACATCTACCAAACTCTACTCATTAGAGCGTTTCCATCTACCAAACTCTACTCATTTACGCATACGCTCTGTGTTTGTAAAATATTAAATTGATGTAATTATTAATTTAAGAATTTTAATCGTGAATAAAATTCTAAGGTAAAAGAGTAAAATTCTAAACAAAACAAAAAGTCTAAAATTGTAATTTCAAAATAGAAAATTTTTAAAAAATGGGGGGTTTTTATTCCCGCATATTTTGGGCCCGGCTCGTGGAATTTGACCCTGCCCGCCAAAACAAATATCACTTTACACTTCCAAAGCACAATCCACAAAGGTATCACGCGGACCGACTTTGAAGACCGTCGATCGACTTAAAATCCAACGGACAACGCGCTTTCCAGACGAACCTCAAAAAGATTAGGCGCGGAATTCGCACTCCCATAAATTCCCCAAATCGCCACAGTTCAGCACCAAAATCAAAATCCGAGACCATCTCACTAGCAGTTCGCTCTTCAATCTTCAGTCGAAAAGATGTCTGGACGTGGAAAGGGAGGCAAGGGATTGGGAAAGGGAGGAGCAAAGCGTCACAGAAAGGTACTCAGAGATAACATTCAGGGCATTACCAAGCCTGCAATTCGCCGTTTGGCTCGTAGAGGAGGTGTCAAGCGTATCAGTGGATTGATCTATGAAGAAACCAGAGGTGTTTTGAAGATCTTCTTGGAGAATGTGATTCGCGATGCTGTGACCTACACCGAGCACGCCAGGAGGAAGACGGTGACCGCCATGGATGTGGTCTATGCCTTGAAAAGGCAAGGAAGAACTCTGTATGGCTTTGGAGGTTAGGTTTAGAGTTTAATTTCACGAATGATTGTATATCTAGGATTTAATTTCCTAGTCATTGAGATTTCTGTTAGTCTTTCTCTGAAGCTGTTCATCGCTGTTCATCGTAGTTCTGGCAATGAAATTCTAGTTCGTTGTGTGATTATTGTCTGTCCACTAAAACTATGAACATGTATAACGCTTAAACCGAATTTTTAGATAGAATGAGTGTTCGAACATATTATTTGTAGGATGAACATGTTTAAATGAATGGTGGTGCGTTCTTAAGCTTAGAGATGAATACTAATTCCATTGCGATAGATATCTCTTTTCGGGTTGGAGAGGTCTTCGAGCCTTGCCAGATTCTTCGCTACTATGCATGAATTCGGATATGAACTTCAAATGTGTCAAAAGATTCGCAGCACCCTGCTGTTGATTTCTCATTCATCGATCATTTTATCATTAAACACTAACTCACTTTGAAGAAATGGTGATGAAGTTTTGGTAGATCTTGCTCTAGCTTTTCTAACGTTGAAACTTTTCACGAAATTTTGGTGGATGAAATAATATATTTTAATACCTAAAATATATGTTTTATTTAAATCATATTTAAACGTAATAAAAAATATATAATAATATATTTTATTTTAATTTGTGACTCATAATAAATATAATTTCTTCTTTTATATAATATATTTAATATCAATTCGGAGTGCTTAACTTCTTTTTCAACTAAATTCTAGCAAGAAAACTTTATGAATATGTGTATTATAAACTTAAATGAAACAACTCATTAATATTAATTCAATTATGATGAATTAACTAAATATTTTATAGTCTAATCTCATTATCATCACTAATCCAATAGAGTCGAGCTCAATAATTGTACGAGTCCATTGTATAAAGATACTACATATATTTTAAGAAAAAGATTTAGATTTATTAGGTCGAGTAGGCTCTAGTATAAATATTACTCCACCCTACCTAGGTTTTCGTCGAAGAAATCCAAAAATAATAAAAATAGTAGTATGTTAGGATCGCACAACAATGCACACACTTGATCTAAATGAACACAAAGAACAGGATAGAGAAAATGCAAGAAGTGAACATAAAGAACAGGATAGAGAAAATGCAAGAAGAACTCTGGCGAAAGGATTTATATTGATGACTTCAAGTATGTACAGCAAGAGAGAATACAGAAAGTACAGCACATATTCGAAGTCATCAATATAAATCCTTTAGCTAGAGTTCTCCTTGCTTTTTCTCTGTCCTGTTCTTTGTGTTCATCTAGATCGAGTGTGTGCGTTGTTGTGCGATCCTAACATAGTATTCTACAGAGTGTCTTGTATTCTCTTCTCGATTGGTATTAATAAAGAGTGCAAATGTTTCCCACAAAGAGTTGTGTTCAACACTACATTCCCTTTAGGTTCTTACTCGAATAATATCTCTTTGTATGTTAACTATATAATGTTTGAGATTATACTGATAATCTTAAATTTTTCGTATAGTAGATAATGATAAATGGCTAAACAAAGATGAGCCCTCGTTGATATATATTAATTTCCTTAACATATTTTGTTTTGTTTAAAGAAATATATTAATTAATTAAATATTCCATCTCTAATTCCGTAAATAATATTGAATATTTGCGTTATATTTATATTTCTTACTTATATATCGTTTTACATATTTTGTTTCCTAATAAAATTAATTTTTTGGGCATATTAAATAATTAAGTAATTTTGGGCAGCAAATTTAAAATTCCCGCTGCCCGGTTCAGAAATTTCCCACTGCCCGCCAATCTCGATCCGCATAGGTTTCACGCGGATCGCTCTTTTTTCAGCCGTCGATTTCACAAAGAATCCAACGGATGACGCGATTCTTTTCCGAATTTGAAAGCCAGTCCAGAATTGCGCTTTCATATTATAAATACCCTAAACCACATTTTCGTAGTCAAACTCAGAATTTCGAATCTAATCTCTTACTGTTCGTTCTCCTTAATCGTTCGTGAAAATGTCTGGACGCGGTAAGGGAGGCAAGGGCTTGGGAAAGGGAGGAGCAAAGCGTCACAGGAAGGTTTTGAGAGACAACATTCAGGGAATCACCAAGCCTGCTATTCGCCGTTTGGCTCGTAGAGGTGGCGTCAAGCGTATCAGTGGATTGATCTATGAAGAAACCAGAGGTGTTTTGAAGATCTTCCTTGAGAATGTGATTCGTGATGCTGTTACCTACACTGAGCATGCGAGGAGGAAGACTGTGACTGCTATGGATGTGGTTTATGCCTTGAAAAGGCAGGGGAGGACTTTGTATGGTTTCGGAGGTTAGGTTATGGCTTGATTTTAAGAATGATTGTATAGTATGTCTCAGAAATGCTACTTATCTTTGTTTCTGCGAGTTGTTTTGCGTTGGAGAAGACACTGGTTTATTGTCAAATTATGCTTCTTATGTACTGATCGTTTGTCTCTCTCCTTCATCTGTCTATCTGATTCGTCAACTAGAAAATTGAATCTGTAATCTGATCTTAAACGTCTCATCTTTTACAAGAAACTACAGATCGGTCTCGCCATCACACGTTTAATGTTTCCTTTACAATCGATAAATTTAAGGCATTATGGCGTTAAATATAATTGATGAAATTCGAATTGTTGAACGAATGAACCAGCTACATCACGAATTTTTTTGCAATGAGCAAGAACCGGTATTCTTAGGCAACTGGAAACTTTATCTCTGGAGGTATCTTGTTAGTTTTAGAAATTTTCAAATCCAATAAGTAACATCAATCCATTGCATTGTTTGAACGTGTATCTTCTGAATGTAAGAGATTCTTGATAATTGCAATGTATGCCAATACGGAAATTCAAGAATAATTGTAGCCTCATATTTTTATGGAGTTGTGAAAATACGATATTATTTAATCATGTTTGATATGAACTAAGATAACCCCGAACCGTTGTTTGGATTCATGTGAAGTTCATCGGATTGAATTGCTCTATTACCACCAGATGACTCTTTGTCCTTGACTCTCTAGTTAGATCAACTTCATATGCTCTAGGAATTTGCATGTGAACCTCCTGGAAAAAAACATCTCTTACAGAACTTTGTTGGCATCAAAGAAGAAACAATTTTTAGTTTCTTTGTTTCTGGCTGGTATGGATTTCAGGCATTATGCAATTCTGAGTTTAGAATTTGAAAAACTCCTGTTCATATCCAGTGATAGATGTACTTCATAAATTTTCTTATTTCATCACTGTTGAAGCATTTATTTTTCTTTTGATCATGTGTGTATGTAGTAATTTAGTTAACGATTTTGCAGGTTGACAAGCCTATGGAGTTCCGGTTACTATTCTTATGATGCGTTTTGAAACACTCCATTTTTATAGATCTGTTCGATCCAGAAGCTAGTAGCAACTTTGTTCAAACAACTTTGTTTAAAGTGATGTTTGTTCGATAAACACGACTCTCCACAATGGTATGTTATTGTCCACTTTGAGCATAAGCTCTCATGACTTTGCTTTGGGCTTATCATTTCTTAAATTAGCCGACGTGGGACTTTCATCCAACACTTCCCCTCGAACAAAGTATGCCTCCCCTTAGTTGAGGCTCGACTCTATTTCTTTTGGAGTCTTCGTCCTTTTTTTACTATGCCTTCGAGGAGTCTTGACTCCCTTTTCTTTTGGAATCCTTTGTTCGATATTTGAGGATTCTATTGACATGACTAAGTTTAGGGCACGACTCTGATACCAAGTTAAATGAACACGACTCTCCACAATAATATGATATTCTCCACTTTGAGCATAAGCTCTCATGGCTTTGCTTTGGGCTACCTCAAAAGGTCTCATTCCATAGAGATAGTATTCTTTGATTATAAACCCATGATCATTCCTTAAATTAGTAGACGTGGGATTTTCATCCAACAATGTTAAGCCATTGTCTCTTTCAAATGGTGTTGTATGTGTAAGAGCAGCGTACAGATGTTCAAATTTTCTCAACGGGAGTCGCTTCTCCTAGTTCGGGGTCGGGTATGACTCCTGAAGTTGATGTTTGTTGTGTATATATATTAAGTTGCTTCGTGGGTGCTTCTTGCTGCAAAGCAATTTGAAAGAATGTTATTCAGGATCCAATTTCTCTTAACCACAGTAGAAATGCTTTGATGCAGTTTGATAATTCATATTTTTCGTGCTTCAAGTTGAATATGCTAGAGATTTGTTAGAACTCAGAAGGTTCAGAAAGTCTACTTAACATTTTTGTAAGCGAGACCTTAAGGCTTTGCAGGTTTTTTGCTAATCATCATTGAAGTGGGTATAGAGGTGGGATTCTCTCAAGCGGTCAAGGGCATGCGTGCAGGTCTGTGATCTTTAACTTCTTGATTTATTGCCATCATCTGTTCCTGATTTTCATCTCAACTTAGTCCAATTTAGTTTTTGTTAGAGAACTTATCTAGATCCTATCCTCAATTGGACATGGCTCATGGCTCAGAAAAGGACTTAGACCATCTAGGAACCGGCACCAGCCTGCCCAAAACGGAACCGCTGGAAATACTCATTTGAAATCTGATTCTGATAGCTTTCATTCTCCTGTAAGGGGAGGTTATTATTAGTATTATCAGGTCTGCAAATATTCCAGATTAATCCATCTTGAAGTTAGTTGAAATGTGGAAGCGGAGATTTATGCCAGTCTGCTTGAAATACAAAACTAGAATCTGTTTACTAATGTTAGTCTGGCTAGTATGTGTATTATGAGATCCTATATTAGGTGGAGAGAAGAACGAAACATTGTTGTTTATAAGAGTGTGGAAACCTCTCCCTATTAGACGTGTTTTAAAACAATGAGACTGATGGTGATAAGTAATAGGCAAAAGTGGACAATATCTACTACTGATAGACTTGGGCTGTTACAAATGGTATTAGAGCCCGACACTGTCGTGTGCCAGTGAGGATGCTGGGTGTCACGGTCATGCTTGTCCAAGGCATGTCGCCCATGGCCGCATGCCCGTGACACGCCGAAACCTTTATCTTGTACTTCTTTATTGCTTTCTTTTACTGTTTTCATGTTGTATTGTTTCTTTCTTATTTTCTTTAAGAGTATGTGGAACGACCCGACTTATCATATAAGTAGCGGTCAGGGCCGTTGGGAAAAAATAATGTGATTTATTTAGAAAATAATGAAAACCATGCAAAACAATCATTTATTAGAAATCAAGTGCGGGTACCCCTTCAAAAATAAAAAATAAAAACAATGCCGCCTAAAGATATTCAAAATAAAGTAGGTAATTTAAAATCAAAAGGAACAAAGTAGAAAATTTAAAATCAAAAGGAAATCTGGCATGAACGCCTAGTTTGGAACTAGGCGTCCACAACATACTTTAAATTAATAATAAAAGTGTGGAAACGTCTCTTAACATAGTTTAAATTAATAACAAAAGTGCGGAAACGTCTTTCCCACAAAATGATACTATGAAAAAAAAACATAAAAGTCCTTGAAACGTTACGTGACTGACTTTGGCATCTTACTCGTCACCTCCGTGCCATAGCTTCGCCTGAAAAATCATTTTAAAAATAGGCAAAAATTCATTTTAAAAACAGGCAGTAAGGAACTCTCGTGCGGTCAACATATAAATTGTCATAAGGCCATCAACCAAACAAAACACGTAGCAGGTGATTATTGCCACCACAACATCAACGCCACCTTTACTCCTTAAAGTGGTTATTCCTAGTTGGTTACCCAAAACAAACAGCGTGTAACCATTACCACAAGGACCTCACCTCCTTATTTCCTCCAATTGAATACTAACCGCTGGTTATCCGAAAACACACCGCGTGTAACCCTTACCTGGGTTGTCATTTTCTAGAATCACCCCAAAGGTGACTATTGGTGACTAGTTACCTGAAACACACAGCGTGTGACTATTACCACAAACCCCTTAACTGGGGCTACCTACAAGCACAATATGCCGGCAATAGACACCTATCCAGACTACACAACCTAACCATATTACACCACAATCAAATTACACAACAATCAGGTTACACAGAAATTAGATTACACACAATTACACACTGCGATTAGATTACACACACAGCGATCAAATTACACTCGGCAATTATATTACACAGCACCTAGCCATAGGACAATTCTGTTCGACCCATTTTTCAAAAAAACAAAACATTTAGTTTCAACAAGTGTGTCCTACGTAGGCGTTGAACCTTTGCTACGTTTAATCCTCTTGAGGTTGGTTTTGGCAACGACGATGGCGTTCCCTCGCAGCGGTGATGTGGGTGCTGGGCGGGGGTTTTTGATGTGGGAAGGGGTACGGAGTGGTGTGAGAAACAATCGACTGCGGGACCGTGAGCGTTCGGTGGCAGCGGCTTAAGGAAGAAAAGTGAAAATGGACTTGATTTCTAATAAATGATTCTCATGCATAGTACCCAAGAATAGAGAGCGTACCTGTGACTGCAGTGTTGGAGTGTTTCCCAACACTGAATCAAATAAGACCCATGCGTAGTACCATGTAGATAAAAGAGTGAGTTGACCCTGAATCAAATAAGACCCATGCGTAGTACCCAAGAAGAGAGAGCGTAACTGTGACTACAGTGTTGGAGTTTTCTGCCTCCTGGCGAGTGGTAGCATACATTCTCCCCTGTTGCGGAGCTGGCCTTGGGTTTGAGGTCGGTTGGTTATCAGGGGGTCTATTGGTACTAGTTGCTCTCTTGGGTGCAATGCGCGACAACGTGGCCTTCTTGGTGACAGTGTAAACATACTCTATTCTTAAACCTGCAGTGTCCTGGGTGACGTCTCCCACAGTTCGTGCAACGTGGTCTGCCATGTGGCGTGTTATGTGGGCGAGCCTCTGGTTGCCTGCGCTCTTGGTTTAAATTTGTCTTGGTCTGGTGCCAAGGTACCTTTGAGGAGGTAGGTGACGTATGCTCTCTCTTTCTCTTCTGGTCAACCGACGTGTTTAAGTGGGTTTAGGGGTCTTCTGTTGGATATTCCCTATCGTCGAGCGTCTCGGCAAGTCGGAGTGTTGTTGCATAGTCAAGTGGAAGGTGAGCTGACACCGCCCCTCGGACATCAGGCCGCAAACCCATAACAAAACATTCTACTTTCAGCTCTTCTGTTGAGACCATTATTGGGGCGAAACGAGACAGACGGGTGAACTCTCGTTCACGTTGCTTCTTATATCGCACCACTGGTTTGAAGTATTTTCGGAGAAACGCTGTTCTAAACTGCGTCTAGGTGATGTTATCCTTGTCTGCAGCAATCGCCTAGGAGGCTGATTGCCACCACAATTTAGCATCTTCGCGTAACAGGTAGGTCACGCAACTCAGTCTATGTTCCTCCGGACACTTCATGCATCGAAAATTTTCATCAATAGCCGACAACCATAAATTGTAAGGAACTCCCCTACTAGGCCCATGGCATTATGTAGACTGCTTTTTAATTTTTTTTTAAAGGGGTACCTGCACTTGATTGAATAAATGAGCGTTTTGCATGGTTTTCATTCTTTCCAAATAAATCACATTATTTTTCGTAACAGTCTTGACCGCTACTTATATGATAAGTCAGGTCTTACAGTATGACGTTTCGGCGATTTCATGGCTACGCCTGGTAGACATGAAATGCCTCAAAATATGCTATAGGGGGATATAACTAGCTGTCAACTTCTCCCTACCCGATAATTTATATACAGTAAGCCGTTGTTGTTGCCTTTTTGCTTACGTTCCCATATAACACCTATCTCTCTCTCTCTCTTGCTTTCAAAACTTTTTTTCTAAAACCTCTCTCCCTCGTTTTCTAAAATCTTCTCTTGAAATCGAGACCCGAGGTTTGTATTCACATTGCCTGACCGTAGGCAACGTACTTCGAAGTAGGCTTAACCCACTCAGTGCTAAGAGTGGGTGCCGCACAATCGCCAAATCCGCTGCCTAGAAACCGCGATTGTGACAGTTGGTATCAGAGTCTAGTTGGCTCCAAAGTGACCGGTAGACATGTCTTTGACTAAAGAGTTGAACAAGTCCCATGTCGACAAATTAGTCAAAATAGAAGCACATATGCAATATTTGCGGGAAGTCTCCGACAGTATTCGATTCCTAGATGAGCGAGTGAAAGAACTTGCTGACAAGACCCTCACCGTTGACACAATAAAGGGTCGGCTAGATGGGCTACCCATTCAAGAAATAATGTATTGAATAGAAAACCTAGAAACAAAAACCACAAAGAATGGTGGTTTCGAGCGAGGAGACAGCTCGCCAAGCTCTGCGCCTGGTTGAGGAGTGAGTCGATAGCCTAGACAGCTCCCAGAAAGAGATGTTTCAGATGGTCACTAAACTATCTGAAGATGTGAAAGCAGCTCTCGACGTAGTCAGGGTAGAAATGGCAGACATAAGCGCCAAAGTAAACGCTGGCGTAAGGGCGGTGGAGAATCAAACCCCTACCCGCAGGACAACGCGACCTAATAAGGTCAAACTTCCTGAACCCAAGCCCTTCTTTGAGGCTCGGGACACCAAGGCCTTAGAGAACTACATCTTCGACCTTGAGCAATACTTTAAAGTGACTGACACTGAGACAGAAGAAGAAAAGATCACTGTAGCCACCATGCATTTGGCTGAGGATGCGAAACTATGGTGGCGGTCAAAGTATGTAGACATCCAAGAGGGCCGATGCACAATAGACACTTGGGAGAGACTAAAACAGGAGCTTCGGTCTCAATTCCTCCTAAGGAATGTGGCTAGAAGGAAGTTAGGCGACCTTAAACATACGGGCAGCATTCGAGAATACGTCAAACAGTTCTCGTTACTCATGTTAGACATTCGACAAATGTTTGAGTTAGATAAGATCTTCCAGTTCACAGAAGGACTGAAGTCATGACCGAAGTCTGAACTATATAAACATGACATAGAAGATCTCTCCACGGCCTATGCTATGGCCGAACGACTATTCAACTTGAACAACGAACAGCCCCAAGAGACAAGGCGAAACCAAGCCTCCTCAAGCGGAGGTAATCGCAACCACATCTCTAATCTCTCCAGAATGGGAGGAGGAGACAAATCGAAGATCAGAGGAGTTGAGACAAATCAAAGATCAGAGGAGTTGAGACAAGACAGCCCCAACAGGGGACTGACGTCTTAGGCAGAGGGCCTCACAATCAGAACCACTTCAATCGACCACCTCTCTTGTTTCCTATGTAAAAGGAACCATATGGTGTATGAATGTCTAAAGAGGGCGTCACTACAGGCGATTCAAGCCGCATTAGATGAAGACGCAGATGAAAAATCTAAGGGCGAAGAAGTCGAGAAAGTGTTGAACATAGAAACACTTCGGATGGGAGCCCTGAAGTTCTTATCCGCACTTCAAAAGAAGACAAGGGAACAAAGAGAGCCGATCGAAAAAGATCTCATGTATGTGGAAGCGTGGGTGAATCACCAACAATACAATGGTCGATTCAGGAGCCACCCACAACTTCATGACCGAGACAGAAGCAAATCAGTTGAACATCAAATGACATCGAGACTCGAGGAAGATGAAGGTCGTCAACTCTATGGCCTTACCGATTCTCGAAATAGCGAGGAAGACAACAATTAAGTTGGGAACATGGAGTAGCTTGGTGGACTTTGTAATCATCAAAATGGATGACTTTGATGTGGTACTCGGGATGGAATTCCTTTTGGAACATAAGGTGATCCCCATACCCTTGGCCAATTGCCTAGTCATAACAGGATCAACTCCAACTGTTGTTCAGACAAGTATCAAACAGCCCGATGGAATCTAGATGATTTCGGCGCTCCAACTTAAACCTGGTCTTGCACGTAATGAACCAACGTTCATGGCCATTCCAATGGTGGAAACCGAACGAACGGTTGACATTATTCCCGTAGAAATACAGTGTGTACTATAAGAGTACTGCGAAGTAA